TACGCCACTCTAATGAATGGCAGTCAACAAGCATGAGACCTACATCCATGCAAAGCTTCCTGCTGACTACCTCTAACCATCTAACATCAGTTTCGATATGAATGAAAAACGATTGAGGCGAGAATCTATATCACAGTAGGACTAGAAGAAGATTACCTACTGAACCCATATGACAACTGCTGTTTCTGCCAACCAGGTCATCATTATCATCGGTAATCTCCAGTTGTCATCGTTAATGAGTGATACATCAGAATAGGTTTATCGTCGACCACACTGGCTACCTAGCTAGGTCTTCTTCGGTCAATCTTAGCTATACTTAGAATTAGATGAAGAGAACGAAGCAAGTTGGCAATCGATCATGAGACCATCTTAGAGGCTAACTACGCAGTGGGACGAAAATGGGCAAATACTGATTACATGAGAAATGGTTCAAAAGGTAAAATATTGGTTAAATTTCCGTTAAAATAATAATGGTGGAAATGATAAAAGTTATGTCATACAATCGAAATTCACTCATTTCTTCCCTTATTGTTTGCCATACTCACTATTCTCGCATCATTCACCGACTCTTTGAAATTTTTGTGTGACTACCAGGCTGAATACCCACTGCAAAACCTGAGAGTACTGGACAGCCGTTTCATCCTAGTTTTGTTCGAAACCCAGTGGGTGCGTACTGCTGAAGTGGAGCCCCAAACTAGGACGTAATAGTTGTCTAGTACTCTAAGGTTTTCCAATGGTTCTCCTCCTTTTTATTCCTTTACGTTACCAGTGTAACATAGGGCTTCAACAAGCTAGAGCCTTGAAGTTTCGGTAGCAGTAATTTTTTATTTTTACTGGGTGTGGGGTTGCTAGCCCTATGCCCAACCTTCCCTCGTCACCGGTCATAATACCAGATTAGCAAGGCAAAAGATTCTGTCGGCCGGGGATCAAGCCTCAGATCACATGTGTAGTTGACGACCATTTTACCGCTAAGCCACTGACGCAACGGTTCTCCTACCAATGTCAACTCATCATGAAATTGTGTGGTCGACGATTCTGCCTAATAAACTGAAGGTCTTTGATTTGATCTAGTGTGGGTGGAATTATGAGTACGTACTTCTACTGAATAGTCTCTCCAGTACTTCCTGGTGGTTCTCAATGGTTCTGTGAGGTAAGTCATTTCATGATCAGTTTTTGAGACTACCTTCACACATTCCACAAATGAACATAAAACCTCTAGCTTTGAGGTTTGAAGTTCCAGTAGCAATTGTGTTTACATTTTTACAGATAGGAGTGAAAAGGAAGGTAGGTTTACCATCCCTTTGGCTCAACCTACCCTCTCCACCAATCTTACTATCCTCTAAACGAAGTCAGTGAATGCATCCACCAGGGATTGTACCTCAGACCACATGAAGCATGATTAGCACATATTCTCTACCACTGTTGAATTGATTAAAAGAAGGATCATCTGAAAATTAGAATAGTGGTAAATTTTACTTAAGAAATGTTCATAGGTGAGTGTTGAAATGCACACGGTTGCAAAACTAATTAATCAACCCATTAATTAATTAATTAACTAATTAGTTGTTAATTAATTCATTTGAAAAAAAACAAAATAAATAAAATAATACATTCCTTTTCTTCAGAAAACAAATTTGGAATTTCATTATTCTCATTAGTAAGTAAGCAAGCAAGCAAGCAGAGAAGTGTATAAAATCAAACATTTAGATTTTATCGTACATTTTTTCTTCCAGAAAAATTTTGTTTTCAAGTATTGTTGTGAAATTGTGTGAAATTTAAAACACAAAAAGGTCAACCTCATGGAATGTCATCAAGCGGTGACGACAAAAATGCCACACTTTTCAATAAAAAGCTATAAATTTTAATAATAATAATAACAGCTTTATTCCAAACAGTATTTGTGGTACTGGTATGGAATTTTCAGCGTGCATTACAGTATATTGCATCTAATTACCTCATAAATTATATAAGATTTTTAAAAATCAAAAATAAATAAAAATAAAATAAGTAAGTTATAAATAAATAAAATAAATAAATATTAAAAATTAAGAAAAAAAACAAACAGCGTAGAGTATTTCATTTCAAACAATGCACCACAGGATATGAAATATGAAATTGGTGTGTAATAGATGAGGAGAACAGTGTAATAATAACGAGGAAAGGAAAACAAATTTACTAACTTTGCAAAATGGTGACCATACAATGATGTAACTTATTCTTGATTGAGGTTCAATCGTTAAGAATTGCCAACAACATAACCCACGCACACACACACAGAGACACACACACAGATATATCGGAGAATAGTACTTGCTAGCCGAATCGGCGCTTAGCTCATTAACGGTAGATGCGGTAGGACTTGAATGTGAGAATCGTCGTCAGCTGAAAGTGGAGCGACATATCCACAGAACCATTGAAATTGAAGTATTTTAGGCATCAAGAATAAAGTGAAGAATCACTGTCTTGAAGTTTGTGAACAGTTGTTCTCCTTTTCTTATCGTTCTTTTGTGTTCCTAATGGAGTATGGGACTTTAAGATTGGGTTTTGAAGTACTGACCATGTGGGATTGTTAGCCTTACGCGTAATCATCCCTTACATTGATGCCTAGCTTAATAATTAATGGAATGAAGTGGTAGACCACGTTGAATACTTCACTAATTTGGGAAGTTTCATCAGCCACCTCCAACCGGTTGATCGCTGATGAAATCTCAGCACCGATACAGAGGGCTCATTTGGTCATATGCCAGCTTACGCCATCTATGGCTTAGCAAACGTGATATCCGGCTAGCTGTACGCCAAAGGGAGTGTGTACTTCTCAGCATTTCGCTCTGTCCTACTTTATGGCTGTGAGTGAGACATGGCGATTGAGAGTGGATGGCATGAAAGGCCTAGCTGGCTGTCTTTGATCATGGGTGTCTGCGTTCTATCTCTCGAGTGAAGCGGTGGTATAATAAGGTGAGCAATATTGAGTTCAGGCTTTGGTCAAGTGCTAGGTAAGGAGGGGAAATCAATCGACGCAGTTGTGAAGCAGCTGCATCGACTGAGATGGTTAAGACATGTGTTACGCATGCATTCCTAGCCATCGCCTTCCTCGACAACGGTCAATGTTAGGTGACACAAGATAGATCAGGTTGAGAAAGGGTTAGCTAGTGGTGGTCAAAAGAAAACATGGCTTCATAAATCAATAAAATCCGTGACAGTTATTTTAAGCCAGTCAGCCAACCAGACGCGTAGCGATGTGTACACTTCTTGACTGGCTGGTTAAAGTCCTCAGGATGGTAGGAACCAAGGACGACTGGACACAATTGGTGATATGACTGGCTCAAAATCGTTCTCAATAATGGCCGGTACAAATGCATTCACTTCTCGTAATTTAGCATATCCAAAAGAAGTCTATTGTTCTTCCGTATTATTATTCTTTTAGCCTCACACTTCTGTTTACTATCTCACTCTCTCATAACGGTCTTAAACTGAATCCTTCCAAGTGTCAAACTGTTAATTTCAGCTTAAGATGTAAAAGACAGTTAAAAGAAGTCGTTGATTCTCATGATAGTTGTGAGATTGACGACAATGATATAGGAATTAAATCAGAAATTTACTATCTTGGACATATTCTCTCTTCCGATCTCTCCTGGTCTTCCCATGTCTTAGCAATCTCCAGTAAAATATTCCGCCTGACATTTTACATTAAGAAGTTAAGGCATTCGCGCATAACTCAACCCCTCCTTTTACAGTTCATAAACTCTTGCATCCTACCTATTCTTCTTTATTGCTCACCCTTATTCTTTCCTGGTTTGCTTAAAAAGGACTATGTCACAATTCGTAGAATACTGAAGACTGTCAGTAGGGTGAGTGGTGTCCCAGTGGACCATGTAGTTAACGTCGTTGTCGATAAGCACTTGACTTCGTGCAATAAATTTGCTAGAGGAATTTTTTCTGACTAGGAGCATCCGCTTTACCCTCAGATTTCACCTTGCATCTCCTCAGGTAGAACAAGAAGTAACTTCAGAACGTCTAAGTATAAAAATTCTATGATACCGTACTTGGCACGTATTTTATGTGATGAAAGTAGTGTCAGGCAAGAATTAACTAACCTTTTTTCATCTAGTAAATAAACAATTTCTTCCATCCATCCTTATATACCTTCAAGTTTTACTTTTATTATTTCTATTATATTTATGGTCCTGTTGCTTCTTTGTTTTACTCTCATAATTGCAAACACCAACTTATCTTTGTGACTGCTGTAATCTTTGTTCTTCCCCTCACCATATCATATAAACAGAACATTATATTCAGTATTTGAAAACATGCTAGGATATCTATACCACATTGACAATACTGTGTGAAACAAGCCCACGACAATTTTCTCTTGTATTATCATTATTATTACCTTAGCTGTTATCCCTATTATTATTATTTCCATTATATATGCTGCATGTTTTTGACACTACCTCTGTTGTAAATGTGGAAAATTTTCTGTGTGATTAATTTTATTTATAATTTGAGGAATTTAGATGCAATATTGTGATTAATGCTGAAAATTCCATTCTGTATCACAAGTACTGTTTCTGGAATAAAGTAAATTATTATTATTACTTTGTGTGCTAGAAGAAGGGAGTGGGATAATTCGAATTCCTGTACTTCTGAGCAAAGTTCTAAGTTGAAACCAGCCAGTCAGTCAGTCAATCAGACAGCAATCTTCCCTATCCACCAGACTTTCATCGATTATTGAAAGTAAAATGGAGTGATTCGACCGTCAGCTGAATTCTAGACCACGGGAGGCATGGTTGACGGGCAATCCACCACTGAACCACCTTGGAGACAACTAAGAGTACTGATAAAGAGCCGACTGCGTTAGTGAGGTGCCACTCGAAACCCCTTGGCATTATACCCTTCAACAAAAAATAGATCCTTAACAAAATTCAAACCCTCGTTTGTATATATATATATATATATATATGTACATGGATAAAATGCAAATAAAAATAGGCAAAACTTACCAGGAATAGAAGCACCCCAGAAAAATAATACTCGATCAGAGATAATATTCAAATGAATCCATTGATAAGCGTTTGAAAAGGAACAGAAACAGAATATAAACAATGCGAACCATCGACGTCTGTAGAGTATCACAGTGAAATCTTTATATACTTGACTTGACATTTGTCAATCTATCTATCTATCTATGTGTGTGTACGTGTGTGCGTGCGTGCGTCTTTCAATCACTAAAATTAAATGAATTTAAAAGAAGAAAAAAACATTTTAATAAATATTAAATAAAATATCAAAGAATATTTTTCACCAAATATATATATGTATGCATACTTGTAAGAGCACGGATACTTTTGTAACGATTATATTGATTTTTCAGGCTAAGGTTGCCTAACCTAACTTGCCTAACTTCCCTTATCCGTTTAGTAAACTACTGAACTTTGCTGTCTATTTTTGTGTGTGATGTCATACAAACTCCAAGTTCCACAGGCAAAAACCAATAAGTTGGTAGAAGCAAACAGGCAGTTAATGACACAACTTCAGGTGAATACAGATAAGACAAAGGTGACAGAGGAGACGCCTTAGAGTTGACAACAGAGACTGATCTCTGTCAACGGGAGAAATCTGGGGGAAGTCACCTATTTTACTTATCCAGGCAGACTCGTTTAAATTGTAGGCAGTACCAGGACAGGATGTTAAAGGCTAAATGAGAAATCAATATGGAAACTTGAATTCAATACAAAGAAAAATATTTGAATTTTCAATAGTAATGTTTCAGAGACTTCAATCGACTTCACACCCCTATCAACAGCTGCCTTATATAGATCCACAATGAAGATCAAATGACCAGTTAGAAAGGAAGAACAAGCAACGAGGAACTCTAGTCAGGAATCTACCAACGGGCTATTATCTAACTAGTATCCCATAGGAAATGGCGGTGGATTGGACAGACTCTTAAAAGGAGACCGTTAAACTAAGTCACACGCTGAGTAGGCTTTCCAAGTGGAACATGAATTGGAAACAACGAGTTGAAGGTGCGTGCGTTAGTGACACGATGATGATCACATGAGGTGAGAATGAAAGCCTGATAGACAATCGTGGTGGAATCAGCTAAAGAAGACTTCGGAGAACAAGATGAAATTAAGATTCACTTTTGAAGCTCTGTATACTGATCAGAACTTGAAGGAATAATAATATTCAAATAATACGTGCATATGTGCACCAACCACGCAGCTGGACTTCCGCTCTCGGTTACTGAGTGATGCACTCAAAAACCTAATGTAGTTTACCAGTCTGTAGTAATCCTGTGGAATAGACAAGGTTGGGCATCAGACTAGTATTCTCACCTGATAAAAACAATATGAAAGTCACTGGGACTTGGATAGCTAGCTATGTGTGTATTCTATACATGAAATGTATGATTGACTACCCAGTAAAAGGCACATCTACAGCATGCATGACAGCATGACATGAAAAGATTAGCTGTCTTCGATCATAGGTGCCTGCTTTCTATCTTCCGCGTTACGTGGCGGTATAATAAGATGAGCAATATTGAGGTTAAGCTTCGGTCGAGTGCTAGGTAAGGAGGGGAAATCAATCGACGAGGCTGTGAAATTACATTGACTGAGATGGTTAGGACATGTGTTACGCATGCCTAGTCATCGCCTTCCTCGACAATGTGCAATGTTATCTGACAGACATAGGGTCAGGCTAGAAAAGAGCTAGCGGCGGTCAAACCAAAACATGGCACCAGTCAATGAAGTCCACAACAGTTAGTTTAAGCCAGCCAGCCACGTAGGAAGGTGTAGACTTCCTAACTGTCTGGTTGGGGTCCTCGGGACGGTAAAAACGAATGAAGGCTGTAAACAATTGGTGTAATGGCTCAAAATCGTTCTCAATGGCTAGCGCAGATGTATGCACTCCTTGTGACTAATGATTTCCAATGAAACTGTTTTGTTCTTCGTTACTACTATTCCTTTGTCTCACACCTCTGTTTACTGTCTCTATTATACATTTCTTTTTACTTTCTACCCTTGCTTTGTGTGCTACAAGGAGGGAGTGTGGATACTTCAACTGCCGCACACATGTGCAAAGTTCTATGTCGAAAACAGACAGACAGATAGATGCATGACAAACAGATGTAAAAATTATTTCAAAGTTCAAAGATACGTAAATAAATGATAATAAAACTTCAACCAGTTAATTATATGACCAAATCTCCCATTAATGTTTTTACGGCTCTTGATAAAAAGCAGGCTACACAGTGATAACTACTAGTCTTTATTATGCAATATGCTTCTTGTTGTTTTGGGTCACTGGACTACATGATGTATCTAACTTTACCGAAAGAGTTACAATACGGAAATAGCTGATTATATTAGCCACTGTATTTCTCCTACATACTGGACACTGTGTTTATTCAACACAATCTGACAGATATAAAGGGATGATTTGGAAACCGTTAATAAGATATCCCTGCTGTACGGAAAACCACAGGAGTTGATGGATTTATTCTGTCCTCCCTAGTATACAATGAATAAAATGCAACGGAGTCTAAAGTTTAAGAACAGTTTACAGATTATCGAAAATACAATGGAACTAGTTTTAATGCGTAGATATCTAACGTATGCCGTTTCGATTAATCTTTTTTAATCTTAACTTATACAATAAACAAAGTTTCACGTTGGTTCTAAGAACTAATAAGATGATGAAATGTGACTTGAAATGTCACTGTTTATGTTTCAATTATCAATTAAAAACACTGACTGTCATAGAACGTTTCAAAAGCTCTTCCTGACAAAATCTACTCTTAACGAACAAATAATATAAAAATTAGAGATGATATGACTATTTTATGACAACATTCACTGTTTACTTCAAAATCGAATACTTGTAGAGCTATAAAAATGTCAACTCCACGAAAAAGTCCATGTGGAGAGTTCTTCTGCGAAGAAACAGTTGTAGGAACAAAATCACAACCCAACTTATGAGAATTTGAATTAAACAATTTTTAGTCATTTAACCACTGAACAGCAAGTTAAAAATACTGTCCTCATTCACATGTGATGAAACCTTTTAATTAGAGGCACAAAGTACATTCTTCTGATAATTTAAGAAAGTTGGCTGAGTAAAATACTTCCTTAAACTTCTTTATATGAGGCTTTACTATGTTAAACAAAACTGTACACACGCATCATGCTGATCAAGACTTTAATATGAATAGTTGAAATAATCCGGAACACGCATTGTGAAATCACAGCCCTCTAAAATCGTCTGTGTATTTACTTAATATACTACAATAGTATGCAAGATATTTCATTCTCACCAACTTGTATTCGAGTTTCAGTTTGTCACACTTAGGGTAACTAACTTCGAATAAGAATGGGATTGAAACTTTTTTTAACTGCAGTGGAAAACACCATTTCTTTAATGAAAATCTAACTTCCTTTAAACATAACAAGCCTTAAATATCTGTCATCAAAATACAGAACATGAAGTGAGTCACTTGATTTCAATTAAATCTTTGCAACGAAATTATCTCTGTCAAATGGCTAAAAAACGATCAGATCGCTAACTTTATAATTTACTGGTGCTGAGCTTTTTTTCTTGATGGATAATGTAATACAACATGCGATTAGTTTTCTCAACAAAGTCTACAAACGAATGGGTACTATTCAACGAGCTTCATGTGATAATAATATCAATGTCTTGCAACTATGTTACACGTAAGCAATGTTGGAGACAATTATTTTTCATCTTTCCTTGTAAATTACAATCGTTCATTAGAATCAAATGTGAATTAATCATAGTTTTCAATCCTTTGGCTCACATTCCTCTATCAAAGTGTCTAAATACATTTTCCTATAATAATTTTACTGAGCAGGCTGATGTTGCATTCACCAACATGCACAAAGTGAATTAATTTCAAAAATATTTTAATAACTTGGAAAAATGTATATTTAAGTGATGCGCAGTATTGTTGTTTAAAAGGAACATAATATAAGCAAACGTCTTATAATATTTAATCTGTTAATAATTACATAATTCAAACAAAACATGAATATAAATCAACGAAAATATGCATACCTGACGGTGACATGAAACCTGTTTGAAACAGGCTTATATAAGTAACATTCACCTTGGAATTTCCTTTAACAGATATAAACAAACTATGTTTGCAGAACAAACTAAACTTTTAATGGTCTATAATGGGTGAAAGAGAACTTTTTCTCAAGTTCAATGCTCACTCAACTGAATTCAGACTTGGAAAGACTAAGGGTTTCAGTATCCAATATCCAATATCGCTTTTACGAGCTAGTATAAACCAATTTGATTTCTTTGTGATCGCTTCTTGATTGTGAGGTATAGGCTCTTGATCTTCGGTAAACTTCTGCGTAGCTTGTCCCGCCACTCGACTGTCGTAGCTTTGGTTGACTCCAAAGGGAGTAGTAGTGCTGGGATTAATTATATGTGGTTTGTAGTATGAGGTATGTTAAGACTGTTACTACTGTGATTGGAGTTGATCCTTTCGCCAGTTAGTCCTTCGGTATTGTCGACAAGAGAAAAGGGATAGTAATAATAATAGTAATAATAGTAATAATAATAATAGATATAATTAGTGGAGCTATTCAGACTAAGAGACAGAAACGAAAATAGGAAACGTAACAACAGTAAGCTCATTAAGTTTGAAGAATAATATATATATCGGTAATAGCAATAATAATAATAATTATAATATTAATAAGTTGTCAGGAGAGTAAGACGGGAGAGAATGTTAAGAAGTAAAATGACGAGTTTAATTATCTACCCCGATTGGTAAATGCGATTTTAAGGAGATAGGCCATTTGGATGCAGTCCTTGTATCGCTGCATGGTTGTCCAGCCTTCGCTTAAAGGCGTCCAAAGACGGTGCCATAGCTACATCTGCCGGCAAGGAATTCCAGGGACGACAAACCCGCAGTGGAAAGAAGTAGGAGCGCACCCGTGTCCTTGCCCTCTGGTGAGCTATCCTTCTGGGATTTCCACGTGGAAGCCTATACCTACTCAATGGCAGAACACCTTTGTTTGGGTGATTCTGGTCATTTGTTATTTTGTAGGCAGTAATCAAATCCCCCCTAAGCCGACGGTAACTAAGTGTGAACAGGCCTAATTTCTTCAGCCTTTCATCATATGGTTTGTTTCGGAGACCAACCACTCCTTTTGTTGCCCGTCGTTGGACTCTTTCCAAGAGGTTGGCAATTATGTTTTCAAAAACTTTGGATCCAACTAAAGGCTTATATAACTTTACGGGATTCTAAGGCACTAAATCTGTTCTTTCATTGCTATAACTCTAGAATAAAGTGAATGAACGTGCGTCAGTTCTTTTTCAGATGAATGCACTATTTGTTCGGGCATAATGTCACTCCCGTAATTGCCAGTTCTGACATCACTAGTGGATTTTCCATAATAGTCAGAAACAAACTGGAAAAAGATAATAAACAATGATACATTGGGGCGAAATGGAAGAAAAGGATGAAAAATTATTACAAGGCAGAACAAAATAAACTCACAGAGCAGCTGAAGAGGGTGATGGGTGCTAGATACGGAAACCAAGATGAAGAAAGACAAGGAATGGCTCTCAACACATACGTTCAAGCTAACCGAGGAGAGAAGAATGATGAAGGGAAAGATGACTCTGTGAAAAGTAGGAAAACAATATCAGGAGCTGATTTCAGCGTACAGTGCACCGAATATAGCACTAAAGAAGAATTCTAAGAAAGATAAAATATAATTCAACGACGACATTGGCAACTGAAGCAGAACATGCAGGCTGCGGGTAGAAAAGGACTCAGATCATTAAATCAGATAACCTGCTCTTTATCCAGAAAAAGATTAACTCAAGAGAGACCCATAAAAGATGGTCAATAGAACCTAGTTATCAGTGAGGACAGTCAAATAAAGCAATAGGCTCGTTGTTTCGAAGGACTATTGAATCGACCCTCACCTAAAACTCGCCCTGAAATACCACCAACAGCATTCACGGAAGTGCCAGTGGGCACAAATCTGAGAGTTGAACATTTCCTCCGTCCTGAGTAAGATACTTTGAAACTTTTTCAATCCCTCATTATTCTGTATATTATAGACTATCATACTTAGTTTTGTAACCAGTCTTTTGATGACCTGTGTTGTGACGAAGTTTATCAGGTTGTCTACCTTGTGAACTGATTCTTTCTTAAGTTCTCCAGGGTTAATGGTTTTCGTCAGGATACTCATAGTTGTAAGTTCATAGACCTGTGATTTTATGTCACCAATTTGCGTTGATAGCTTAGACATTTTTCTAAACATCCTGCATTTATAGACTTATCACACCTTATTTCCCCCATTTCAGTCCTCAGCACTTCTACAGACACCTTTAGTCATTCCATTTCTGAAGTGTTGAAGCTGGACTTGGTTTCTGAATTTCGGTGACACATAGGTAAGGTAAAGTGAAGAGATCTATATAAGGACCAGGTGCTGAGTTAATAGAAACGATTTTACTACTAGTTGTCAGCATACTTTCTGCTCACACTTCCAACCACGTTAGATAGTTTTGAAAAGGCAGCTCGACGCTTGAGGCATACTGGCGAGCTGTGACTGACTACCATATTTCGTGGGAGGTGTATTGCTTCTTGCAGCAAACAGATACTTGCTATCAGTCATCAGATTAACAGGTGACTGAGTTCGTGGCTTTTTTATATGACTAAATTTAACTAATTATTACTATAATAACCTTTAATTCCTAGAGGAACATAGGGCTTCAGCTCGTCTCCGTTGCGTTCGGTTTTCTGCCAACTTTTTCACCCCGCTCCAAGTCTGCCCACATGTTTTCATCTCCTTTTCACATCACTTCCTCCATGACACCCTTGCACTGACGACCAACTCGCCGCCTCCCTTTCGGGTTCCACTCGAGCAATGGCTTGTCTAGTGATGTCACTTGATGGTTTCCTCAGAGTATGGCCAATCCATCTCCATTTCTTCCTGCCTGTTTGTTTCACAATCGGTTCCTGGTTGGTTGGTTCGCTCATTACCAGAGATCCCTGTTGCTGATCTTTTCTGGCCGGCCATCTGATCTTGAGGATTGAGCAAAGAAAGCTGTTGACGAAGGTCTGAAGTTTGTTTGAGATGCTCTTTATGACGCGCTAAGTCTCTGATCCGTATAGTAGCACTGACTTACTTCACATCGAAGTTGAAAATCCGGATATTATTTTTGATGCTATGTGCTGTTGGCCTCCACACAGACTTAAGAGTAATGAAAGCTTGTCTTGCTTTTCCGGTTCCGGCTTTGATATCCTCGTCAGTTCCGCCAGCAGTTGAAACGATGCTTCTCGGGTAGTTAAAGGAGTTTGTTTCTTTCAGGTTCCTCCCATTTATGCTGACTGTTTTCTGTTTTTGTAGCTGCTGCTTTTGGACAGGAATCTTGATCACCTACCTCTGTTTTCTTCATGTTTACCTGAGGTCATATCTTCTGTGGATGCTTCTTCTGCCAACTTGTTGCTTTTCACTTGCAGATCTTCCAGTTTGTGGGAAATCAAACATATATCATCGGCGAAGTCCAGAACCTCCAAGTTTCTTGCGTCAGTCCATTTTATGCCTGTTCCCTCATTTCCCGTTGCCTGCCGCACTATCCAATCTACTGCAATCAGGAAGATCACTGGTGATAGTAGACAGCCTTACCTCACTCCCGGCCTCCCTTCACTTAACTAATTAGTGAGAGAGTTAATGGTCACAGGCATGGAACTAGGGGACCACATGTGCGTGTTTCACAACAAAAATAGATTATACGTGACGAATCACGCTAAAATGACAGGCTGTCGACGGACGTAATTTTGAGTGACCGCGAGTGAGATAAACAAGCGATTCGCTCGCTTGTGATTGGCCAGTTTGCCATTCGAGTTGAGGTAATTTCAAACATCATTCTGCTGCTTGGTTAAGTCCTGAATTTCCGTGAGCGTTTTATCAAATTGGAGAGATAACTGACAACACAAATTATTACAGCTCAGGAAAGAAATGATATAGCAGTAGATTTATTTGCTGAATTCAACGAATTCATATCAAATTACGATCTAAGGACTTCTCAGGAGTGTCAAGAATGCAAACAATGTCTTGAAGAGGTAATAACTTCACGCGACTTCAATTATCGCTTGACCATTATTTTCAGAGATCCTTAAATAAGTATAATATACACAGTGGTCTGGCTAATCATGATAAAAACGGCATGGTTGATGCAGCATATACGTATACTTTTGTAAATGTAGGTAAACCTAGATGAATTGTGCTCTTGTCACGAAGATCGGAAAGCAGGTACCAGATGTCCCAGTAAGCAGTGTAAAACATGTAAGTTACATGTTTTTATTTGACATAAACTGGATCTCCACTCACTTTCAGAATTAATCTTAAATTCAGTTGGAATAAGCTCGTTGAGCACATCAGTATTGACAGAATACAGTGAAAGTAAGTAAACACATGCTTCTTAAGATTAAGTGATACATTTATTTGATATGATTGTATTATTATCAGTTGTCTATCTAAGTTAATGATGAATTCGTTGCGGTAATAATACCTTTTATTGTTTTTGTAGTCACTATGATCATGAACGTTATTATTATTGCTGTCAAGACCTATTATTTGTCATAAAGTTGTTGTCATTTTTGCTAAAATATTTGTACAAGCTTTGGAAACTACTTCATAACTTGTCGTTAAATAATTTTATCATTTCATGATGCTTCGATGGACCTACTAGATATCGACAAACGATAAGTCGCGAAGTCCCTTAAGTTTAGTGAAAACTATTGGGCTACTTATATATATATTGTTTGTAAAGTGATTAATTGTAAATGCTTATCAGGAAAATTTTTTTATTCAGATCATACATGTAATACCCAAGTTAATTATGCTTTTCTTAAACCTTTTCAGACTTATGGAAAAACATATATGTACCGTGTACGCAGATGGAACTTACTGACGGTAACAGAGGACTACTCATCTGAATTATCTGTACATTTGAAATCTGATTTTTGTTTAATAAACAATTTTTCAATGAATCTGTCTTCCTTCTGTTGTAATGCGACTGTGTTCCAGTAACATAAGTAGCGCGTGCTAAGTTAGAAGTTGAGGGTAAACTGTTAGGAGTAAATGCGGCGTCTGGAAAACGATAACCGTAGTTGCACTGAGTCATACATCTGACAGCATAGGTATAATCTCT